AAAAAAAAAAAAAAAGTCAAAGGAGAATTTCAAGTAAGAGTATCTGAGCATAGCATAGCTATGAGGTCACAAAAAGAGGTTACTCATCTCATGGCAGAAACTGAGGCACCAAAAAGGGAGAAGAGCTTGAGGAGTCTGGAAACCAGATTGGCAGGTGGAGAATACCCAGTGGAAGAAGGTTAACTGGGCAAAGAAGGCCACTGAGGCTTTGAGTTTTTTAGAGATCTGTTGATTTGTTTCCAGGGCAGCCAGATACCTGCCACACAGCAGTCTCAGCCGAAATGGAGAATGGCTTCACTCCTAATTTTGGCTTCTTATCTACATGACGATAAGCAAATGATTTCACCTCTTTGTGTTTTTTCCCATTAAGTGGCCTGGATACATAGATCATGGATTAAATCATATCAAACATGTAAATTGTGTATGCTTTTTATTAGAAAAAGGGTTCACAGACTATTTCAATCTGCAAACCTTTTTAAATTTGGAAATAATTTCCTGAGCTATTTCTAGGAAGTATTTCCAATGAAAACTCAATTTTAATAAACATTACTAATGACATACTATACATGTTCTCTAAGGCCGCGAGAGCTTTTAGTTGACTCATTTTGCTTTTTACGCTACTCCCTTCCATTCTGTACTCACTGATAATATTGTGTTATGAAGGTACAGGTCAGATCCTTTATTCTTGCATTTAATTCCTATGTGAATATACCTTCCTATTTTTGCAATAAAAGGAACTGACAGGATGAATAATTTTATACAGTAATCCCTTTTTCCTAATTAAGACTCCAGACAGTGGTTTCACATATGATACTTTAAGTTATTGCTTCAACAGTAATTGCATTAAGTTGTCCTGCTTTGGCCTGTAATTATAACCTGGTCTAATCACAGAATTGTAATTCCCCTACTTTTAAACAAGACAAATGATACGGTATTTTTTTCTCTTCAAGACCAAGCTATGCTTTATCCCTGAAACAGCATAGCCTGTGCACAAACACACACACACACACACAATCATTCCCTGGCATTCCGAGATAATTGAACATTTAACATAAATGATTTTTCTGGATGTAAAATCAGAGTTTGTACCTTAAACCCAAAATATTTTAAAAATCCCCTGCCTCAATAAACATAGTACAGTGTGTGAAAATCCTGAACCTTTTCTGACATTATATCTGGCTGCCTTTGTGAATATTGGTCCAACCAGCCTATGTGCCACTGTAATAAAGAGGTGTCTATGAGAGCTTCAAGTTGGTGTACCTGCCTGCCCTTCCTCAGATCGCCTCAGACTTCGTGCTTTTGAACACTCCTATCTGAGGTTTCCTTTTCTCCCCATTACCTTTGTGATCCTAAAGGTCAAAAGACAGTCTAGTTTAGTGGTTAAGAGCATAGCTGCCCCACGCCAGGGATTCAAATCCCCACTCTGCTACTTAGTTTTGTAACCTTGGCCCAGACTCTGAACTGCTCTCTGCCTCAGTGTCTCTGTTTGTAAAATTGGAATTAATGCTAGATCCCCAAGCCTGCCACTTCATCAAAACTTGAGGTCACCCATCATCTTCATGTCACTAGATCCAATAAGCATTTTGTGTGTGTGTGTGTGTGTATACACATATATATATACACACACTATATATACACACACACACACATATACATACACACACACACACACACGGAGTTTCACTCGTCATCCAGGCTGGAGTGCAATGGCAATGGTGCGATCTTGGCTCACTGCAACCTCCGCCTCCCAGGTTCAAGTGATTCTTCTGCCTCAGCCTCCTAAGTAGCTGGGATTACAGGCACCTGCCACCACACCCAGCTAATTGTTGTATTTTCAGTAGAGACTGGGTTTCACCATGTTGGCCAGAGTGGTCTCAAAATTCTGACCTCAAGTCATACACCTGCCTCGACCTCCCAAAGTGCTGGGATTACAGGTGTGAACCACCGTGCCCAGCCTGTTTGTATATGATTTATAAAAATGATGTGTCTTTAAAAATGATTTTATATATATATATGTATGATATAACCAATATCAAGATGAAAACACAGACATGACCAGCCTCCCAGGTGCCCCCATGCTCCCACCAGTCACCACTCTACAGAAGAATAACCACTTTCCTGTTTTCTAACACCATAGTGTAATTTTGCTTATTTTTCCACTTTATAGCAATGGAATTATTTGGCATGTACTCTTTTGTGTCTGGCTTCTTTCGTTCAACATTGTTCACCCATGTTGTTACCTGTAATTGAAGTTTGTTCATTTTCATTGCTGTGTCCTGTTTCATTATGTGTGTACGCCATAATTTACTTACTCGTTCCACTGCTAACGGGCACGTGGATATTTCGGTGGGGGTTGGGGGGTAAAATAGTGTGCTCTTATTAGCATCCTTGTACAGGTCTTTTCATCCTTGTATAGGTCATTTCTTGAGCACATGGGAACTTTTTTGTTGGATCTATACCCAGAAGTATAAATGCTAAACAGTAGGGTGTGTGCATATTTACACACCCTACGGATACATTTTAATTAAT